GAAGAGAGGGAGAAGGGAAATGATACTAAAACTTAACTTACATAACATAATGTAACAATAACTTAAAAATAACTTAGAAGAGATTTAAAAATTAGTGTTGTTTTATATATTTTTTAAAAATTTTTATTCACTGCTTTTTGCTTTTTTTCCTTCACTTCCACCAGCACTTTCACTGGATAGAGGTCGCTTGGTAAAATATCTATCCAAAGAGGTTTGGCTTTGCCTACTTTTTAAAATGTTTCTAAAATGACTTAGGCAAATGTCATTACTCCAAGCAGCAATATGGCCAGTGTGAACCTTTTCAGGATGTTTCTTTTCAATAAAATCAGTCACTTTCTGATAATACTCAAGATTTCCTTTATCGAGTGAGATCCTTCCACAATGAAGCAAACACGTGGACTGAGACCAACGAACAGAAGTGAATAAAAAATGGCGCTGTGAACTAATGTAACGTCGTATGGTGAGTTTATGTTCATATAGTGGAGCAAAAATATGTTCGAATTTCATGTCGTATCCTGAAAATTTTGTATGCTGAGGCATTCGTATCCTGAGGTACCACTGTACTGATAGAAATCTACATCTGTTACTCATTCTATATATTTGCCCAAACTATGTTAAATTAGACTCTGTATTAATGCAATACTAATTTATATGCAGGTTTTTTCTAAAAGCAACATTAGACATACTTTCTTTCCACAGGTTATTTATTATGGGCTGCAATTTGAAAAATTGTAGATCTATAAATTCCCACTGTCATCTGTCTGTCCATCCTTTCTTCCTTAATCTTTAGAAGTGTTAGATAGATGTTTGTAATTGTAATTGGGACCTTCTGCCCCAATTAACTATATACAAACTTCTGGTCTAGACTGGAAGTCATGTGACTTCAATTCAAAAATTTTCTCCAGTATAGCATTACCTAGATGACCAACATGTCTTGTTATCAAGAAAAGTATGATGTACTGTACAAGGGCAAGACACTACTAAACTACTAATTTGAGATCAAGAGCCTATCTATATTTTAAATTAAAAATTGCAGCCTGGCATTGAGACAATGTCACAATAATTTTTGCTTGTAATTCATACAACCTTCCAAACTTGTTATCCATCATTCTTTTATTTAATTTCCACTATCTATCATTTTACATGCAGTAGAATCTTGTTTTAACAGATTGCAGAACAACAATTTTTTTCCAGGTCCCACTAAATCAATGTAATTTTGCCTCCTTTTAGCAGATCCATAATTTGGAATAACAGATTTTATCTAGCCCCATCTATTGCAAACTTTGTGTTTTTTTTTTTTCAACATTTAGTTAATACTCAAGTGTTTCTATGAATTCATAAAGTTCAATGATGGCCTTGTTAGCATACATCTGGAATATGTACAATTAAAGAATTGTACAAAGTGTCAGTGGACTGATAAAATTGAGGAGTCACTAGACTCAGTGGTCTTGCTAAATTTCAGCACTACACTTGGATGCTGGTTCAAGTGTATTGTCAAAAATCAGCAAGGCCATCAAGTCTTTCAAAATCATGAAGACCTTCCTGATGAGTATCAGCATAAACAAACAGATATACATGATGTTGCTAATATCAAGTTGTTAAATGTTGTATTCAATAAGCAGAAAAGCAGCATCAAAACAAACCAAGATGGACAAGTATTTTAACAAATCATAATGTCAAGTGAAGTGCTAATGAGCATATGTAATTTGCCTCTTTTTGTACTTAAGAGTATGTACAGTTTCCGTCAGCTTTATTGTACACACGTGGCTTAATATATGAACTTGTAACATATTTCTATAGAATAAAGAATAGAGATCTCAAGAGACTAAATACTGTAATTTTAAGTACAGGTATTGCTTATATGTACAGTTATGTAATGGATATTTTCTTGGGTATGTGAGAAATCTGCTGTTCTCAAAATAATAGATTCTCAGAACAACGGATGATTTTCAGTGGTCCAAGCAATTCATTAAAATGAGATTCTACTATATCAAAATAAACATATATCTCTCAGTATAATCTATTTCTTAACACAAAATTAAATATTTAAGGCTGTTTTAATTATTAAAATGTTTTGCAGTTCAAATAACAATTTAGATGCTATATTAATATATAATAAATTATTTTTAATAATATATTATATGTTATTTAAGGATGCATTGTTTTTGGAGAAACCCTTGCAGCTAGTTTAGCAATTGATGGAAGAGCCTACTTTGATAAATGTTGGTATAAATCAGCTTCTCATGTTGTGTCACCTCCTCTTCGACCCGATCCCACAACTCCACTGTATCTTATGGATTTACTATCAAGGTGCATTAATTTTTCTATATTATTTTCATTATATATCATTGCTTGCTATTCCGTTCAATTAAGATTATTATAAAGTTTAGTTCTTAATATAAGTTAATGAAAAATAAAAGTGCTAAGTTAGATTCAATAGTATCATCATCACCATCATACTTACGAAGAGAGGGCCAGACAATTCTCCAATTCAAATGAAAGTTGATGAGCACATAGCCCTAAACACAAGCAGCTCCTTGTCCAAATAATAGGACCCACTTTCAAGCATTTTCAAAAAACGAGCCTCCGAAAATTGAGTGTTTAGCTTACAAGTCTTTGGAAATTCTACTTTTGTTGTAATGGAAATGACTGAGTGGAGAAGATGCTAGACACTGGAGCTACATGATGTAGGTTTGCACCTTTAGAATAATTTTGTTACATATAAAAAAAACTATTATTTACCATATTATTATTATTATTTCTCACATTTAAAGCTTATAAAACAAGAGATTAAAAATACATGACATCATTTCCTGTTTAGTGAAAACAAAGTCTGTAGATTTAATTCTTGTATGTCTTTAAATAAAATTTTTATTTCTTCATATTAATGTTCAGATGTGATATTGTTATATTTGAAGTATAACAAACACGAGTGCATAAGGAAATTGTCCATAACATTAATAATTAGGGTGCGTAATTGGTGCATTTTTTTATTTTCATATCAGACTTGTCTTTTTTGTCCATCTACAGCAGAGGTGGCCAACCTTTTGCATACCATGTGCCAATTTTTTGACAGACAAGTTCAGATGCGCCATATAACTCAAACACTTTTTATACAGTCTTACGTTCAATGTTAGGGGTTGATAAATAGAGAGAAGAATAAATCTGCTTCGCTTAGGGGAGAAAAGGGAATAACTTAATCACACAGTTGAATTAACTAATTTATGACAGTTTATTGAAGAACCAATTTACAATAGTTAACAATTATCTCCTGTACGAGAGGGCTATTGCTTCATGATGGTGCTATTGCTGCCAGAGTCTCGTTTGGTGAAAATTACTCTGCACCAGAATTATTGGCACTTAGAACGAGATCAGCTTGGAATAACTTTAATCAGAATAAATGTTTTCGGCCATTTACAGGCTTGTAAACTGATCTGAAATGAAGATCGCAAGACTCAAAATACATGCATACACTGTAATTTACTATGTGGATAACACTCATTTCATCTGCAAAATAGACTGTAATGAATTGTGCAAGAAATGAACAGACTATAAAAAATTTATTTTTCTATAATATTCTTAATCACAAAAAAGCCAAATCTGGCAATTTTGCTCAGAACTAGCTGAAGCACCACTTGTAATCGTCCAATGTGCCACATTTGGTGCATGCGCCACGTTTTGGCCACCCCTGATCTACAATAATGTCTGAAGCTTATTTGGTTTGTGTTAACATAGTATGTAACCACGAGAAAATATCTGAAAAATTAATAAGAAATAAAATTTCATTTAACAATGTAAGAGTTAAATCCAGAGACTTCTTTTTTGCTAAACAAGAAATGACACAGTTTTTAATCTGTTGTTTTATAAGTTTTAAATGTGAGGAATAATAATAGTAATAATGCTAATGATAAAGAAATAATTTATTATTTTATCATATGTATAAAAAAAATGAAAATGCAAAGGTTCAAACCTACATCTGGCTTCTCTCAGAATTGATTAATTGTTCTTGTGGTCTTTGATTGCAACATAAAGGCATCTCTAGTGATACAGCATCCTTCTGCAACAGGTAAACTGCAGACAGGATGCCTTTGTGTGGTTTTATTATAGGCCAAGGGGACACTTTAATGCCCTCTGCTTGCATTATGCATTGAGCCATCATGCTATAACTCTAATCATTTCCATATCTGCATGCCAAGTTTGCAGCAATAAAACACCTTCTTGGTATGCTAATTTTTTATGGCAATGAGTGTTAATAATTTTTATTCACTTTCTTCTTAATTGAATTGTATTTTCTTATACAATATTGGATTCATATATTAGCAATTTTATTTCAAAAAAAAATTTTCCTTATCACTTGTAATGTTTTTCATAGAAGAAAAAGTCATATTTCTATCACTTGTTTTTTGACATAATTTAAATTATTAATGGTTGTCTGTATATAAATATCATTATTTCCATTTTGTTTCTAAGTGGGGCTTTACAAGTGGCAGCAAGTGACCATTGTACCTTTTCATTGGAACAAAAAGCAATGGGGTGTAAAGATTTTAGAAAAATTCCTACAGGAATCAATGGAGTTGAAGATAGAATGTCAGTACTTTGGGAAAAGGGAGTGGTAAGAAAACTTTATTTTCATATACTTGTTAAAATTGTTCAGATTATAAAACTTTTTAAATATCTTTTTTAAGATGACTGGCAAACTAGATCCATGTCAGTATGTAGCTGTAACCAGTACAAATACAGCTAAAATCTTCAACATATATCCTCAAAAGGTAAAATAATTTTTAATATTACATATTGATTTTGTAAAAGAATAAATTTATTGATAATAGGGACGAATTCAAGTGGGTTCTGATGCAGATATTGTTGTTTGGGACAGCAATAAAACACATACCATTCAGGCAAAGACTCATCATCAGCGAGTTGATTCTAATGTTTTTGAGGGAATGACATGTCATGGTGTTCCTGTTTATGTTATATCAAGAGGAAGAGTAGTTGTGGACAATGGAAAGGTAAATATAAATCATATTAAAAGCTTTTACTTTTTTGATTTGATCCTATTGATTTTTATTTCAATTTTTTCCAAATAATAATTTGAATAGTAATATTTAAAACAGATAATCAATACATAAGTAATTGATTTTCACTTAACAAAATCTGGTCAATCTGTGATATTTTATAAACATATCGGAATTATAGATCTTATTCTTAGCTGTTTAGAAATTGAGGAAAAAATTATATTTTGTTAAGCTTATTGAACTTTTAAATACAGTAAAATCTCTTTAAAAAGTATTTTGGGTGACCATTTCAGGGAGTGATGAAATTACCTGTAGTAATATTTGTCCAACAGTAATACAGTCGACCCCCCTATAACACGGGTTCCTATAGTTTGGATTCCTATATGATATTGAAAAAATTGTGACGGTATCCATACAAACATGGTAAAAAACTCCTACAATTCAGTAAAACGTCATCGGGCAGCCGAACTACCTTCCGCCGTCCAGCGCTACGCTACGGAGAGTTTAGGCGGGTAAATTGAGTTTACTATCGTCTGTACAGTATGTAAATTAGGTACCGTAAGTCTAATACAGCACTAATTTTATACATTTCTTGTGAAAGAAACATTTCTTATTCAATGGCC